CAACAAAAACCGCCAATTTTGAAATTAAATTTTAAGCTTTACCCACCCATTCCACTTTACCTACCTTTCCCCTATAACAAAAAATGGCATCAACGTTATTAATATAGTAATACTATACTTCATCTAATTTACTTACCGTTGCACGTCATTATCATTGACAGAGATCGAAGTTGACATAGTTGCCAAAGCATAAAAAAATCCTGACTCCATTTTAAATCAAATAGGTAACATAATTATTGCAAAAGCCACCATCTCCTTTACAACGACTATTTAAATTCTTACGTGACATTTTTGAAATAAAACAAACTAAATGTGTTTTAAAAAGAACAGATTTTATTAAATAGGTAAAAATATAAAACAAGAGGTATTCACTTTAAAATTCAAAATAATAAAGTACAAAGTCAAATAAGTGTTACCAATTTATGCCAAAATATCACATTCGTTCGATTACAGTTACAGTGTGTTCCGAACAAATGTTCATAAAAAGGCTTTATAATTCATTTAATAAAAAAAATGAAACATATTGTGTATTTCTTTAAGTTAACATTAACAGAAATCTTTAAATATTATTTCTACACGTATATAATAAAATATGTCTAGTGGCTGTAATGCCAGTGTTCTCGGCAAAGTGATTCTAAAAAAGAACACACCTACCGCCTTAAATATCGCGTGTTGGATGTGTTAGATGAAGTATACTTAAACACAAAAAACGGACATTTGTCTGTTTACATTATGACTTAACGCACACAAGTACGGCAGTTAGGGTGCCAGAAGCCAACTTACATGATATCCTTCTCTGAGCCTTTGCTGTCAGCAACCAGCATCACAGATGTTTAGTATAATGTTCATGCCTACCAAATTTTATTCTATTCGGAATATTGCCGACGTTACATTGATCGCATATGTTTGCCATAACCGCACTACATCCATGGGCGTATGTAGCAACTCTTCTTCTGGTTCCTCTTCCTATCAGAGGTTGGAAGTCATCATCGCTATTTTAATTTTATTGGCCGCGCTTCTAAATAATTCTAATGAGCTGCAACCGAACCACTCTCTCAAGTTTCTTAGCCAGGATATTTTGCGTTATCCTGGGTTTCTCTTCCCTTGCATAATTAACCTAAGTAATACGTACTTCTCGCCCCTTATTATATGACCCAGATATTAAATCTTTCTAATTTTAAGTTTTTATGACTTCACATTCTTGCTTCATTTTTTGTAACACCTCTATATTAGTAACTTTTTCAGTCCACGATATTCTGTGGATTCTTCTGTAACACCACATCTCAAAGGAGTTTAATTTTTTGATTTCAGACTGTTTAATTGTCCCCGCTTCGATGCCGTATAGTAAAGTAGAAAAAACGTAACAACGTAGCATTCTTGTGCAGGTCTCTAGATTAAGGTAACGGTTGCAAAGTTCTTCAATTTTATGAACGTGTTTCTTGCCATATTTGGTTAGCTACATTCCTAAATATTCATATGTTGTTTCTCTTTCGATCCTTGTATTACTTATGATCAGGTTATCTACATTTTGTGGTTTTTTTTTGAGAATATCATTGATTTCGTTTTCTTGAGATTCCGCATCAAAATGACCGCATCGTCCGCATATCTAATATTTTCTTCTTCTTCTTCTTCAGCCTGTGTTCGTCCACTGCTGGACATAGGCCTCTTCCATTTGCTTCCATCGATTTCTACTTTTGGCAATTCTCATCCACTGCTTGCCCGCGACTTGTTTGATATCATCTGTCCACCTCTTCTGCGGTCTGCCTACTCCTCGCCTGTTCTCTCTTGGTCTCCAGTTTGTTAATCTTTGTGTCCATTTTTCGGGATTATCTCGGGCAACGTGTCCGACCCATTGCCACTTGAGCCTTGCAATACGTTCTGAGACATCAGTAATTTTTGTTCTTTCACGAATGACGTTATTTCGAATCCTGTCTCTCAAACTAATCCCTAGCATGGCCCTCTCCATTGCTCTTTGGGTTGTACTGAGCTGCTCTAAGGTTTTCTTTGTGAAGGCCATGGTCTCCAGTCCATATGTAGTTACAGGCAAGATACATTTGTCATAAACTCTACGTTTTAGACACATTGGTATATCTTTATTCTTGAAAATAAAGCTTAATTTGCTCCCCAAGACAGTTGTATGCGTCTTTTTATTTCGGCTATTTGATTTTCTTTGCCGATTTTAATGGTATGTCCAAGATATATATAGTGGTCTACATTTTCAAGACTGACGTTGTCAATAACAAGATTAGTTTGTAAATTACTCATTATTTTTGTTTTCTGAAGGTTCATTTTGAGACCTATTTTATTTGACTGCTGGTTTAATTCATTCAATATTTGCTCCAGTTCCTTGATATCTGTACTAAATAATACTATGTCATCCGCAAACCTCAAATGACTCAAACGTACACCATTAATGTTTAGACCTTTTTCCTCCCAGTCAAGCTGTTTGAATACATTTTCCAATGCTAAGGTAAAAAGCTTTAGTGAAATAGTATCACCTTGTCTAATACCTTTATCAAGACGCATTTTTTCAGTTTTTTTGTCTTCATTGATTTTGATGTGGAATGTGGCCTGTTCATAAATGTTTTTAATGAGTGTAGTGTACCGTGAGTCTATTCGAGCATCCTTCAGGGCTGACAAAAAGGACCAAGTCTCAATACTATCGAAAGCCTTGTGAAAGTCGATAAATGCCATATGTAAAGGTACATTATATTCTGTGGTTTTTTCTACTAGTGTTCTGATGGTTTGTAAGTGATCATTAGCGCCAAACTCTTTTCTAAATCCCGCCTGTTCAACCGGTTGATGTAAATCAAGTTTTTGTGTTATGCGGTTGGTTATTATTCTTGTTAACAATTTGTATAAGTGTGACAACAAACTTATAGGTCTGTAGTTTTCAATATTAGTAGTGTCTCCTTTCTTGTGTAAAAGTATTATTTCGGCGTTTTCCCATAGGCTGGGTATTCTTTTTTCTGTTAGACACTTATTCAGTAAGACTTCCACAACTTCTACAACGATGTTGCCGCCCATTTTTAACATTTCAGACGTTATACGATCCTCCTTTTTTGTTTTTCAATTGCTGTAAGGCATGTCTAATTTCCGAAGAGGTTATTTTAGGGAGGGTTTCCGAGCCGACGTTTAGAATTGTTCTGTGGTCTGTTTCGGGGTTCTGTATAGTAGATGTATAAAGATTCTTATAGAACGTTTGTATTTCCTTGATTATTTGAGTTTTTTCGGTCACCGTATTCCCCTGTTGATTTTTGATTTTAGTTATATTTGATTTTCCTTTAGTTAAATTTGATTTCAATACTCTCATGTTTCTATTGTTTTCGATGGTTTGCAATATTTGTTTTGTTTTATAAGCCCGCAAGTCTGACCTTATGCTCTTTTTAACTTTATTGTTCATAGCTTTATACTCTGGTAATTCTTTCGATGTTCTTCTTTCTTCCATTAAATTAAGTGTTGTTTGTTTCAGTTTCGTTTTTCTGGGATTTTTATTTTTATCACAGAACTTTTTTGCAGTTGATGTTTTGTCGTTCGTTAATTTTTGTGTTATTTCATTTATATCTTTCGTGTTGAATACTGCTAGAGGTCCTAGTTTTTTTTTTAGTTCACTTTGATATTCCTCTTGATGCATTTCGAGTGCTTCTATGTTTGGCAATTTATCCTGTGTTAATAATTTTCTTCTATCTAATTTCGTATTTATTTCTATTCGCGTCCTAACTAATCGATGATCACTACCAATGTTGAAAGAATTTAGTACAGTAAGATCTTTAGCAATGTTTTTGAAGTTAGGAGAGTATAAAGTCAATTTCATTTTTTATCTAATATTATTAATGCTATTTCCGTTGACAAAAATACCTTCCACAATATCCAATAAAGCTTGAAATATCACTTCACTGTAGACGTTGAATAAGAGTGGTGAAAGTATGCACACTTGTCGAACTCCTTTAAGTATACTTACTTCCTCTGCCACTCCTCCTTCGACTCTTATTCATGCTTTCTGATTTTGATACAGATTCGATAAAAACTCATTGTGCCCAAGACTATGATTGTAGTGCATTAAAGTCTTTCCCCCTTTTAAATTCAATGTTTGTTTCGTCCCTTCTAAGTGTTTTCTGTTTTAGTGTGTTTAAATTATCCTTAATTGTTTGTATTTTACCATTTTATTTACTTGACTATTCCAATAATTAACTCATTGCCAATAGAACTTTATCAAATTAATTTGATAACTACAAGTTGGAAAATAATTGCACATCCATACAATTTTTACATCTACACTTATTCATTGTCATAAAACTGTCACCTTCATAAAACAATTACTCAATAAATAACACACATTTCAAAAATATATCTCTGGAATAAGTATAAATAACCTTTAATAACACAATAGTATATTACATCACTTACATTTAACAAACAATCTCACACATATCTCAAATTCATTGGATCAAATCTATCTCCTCAAGAACTTCCCGTTTACTGTGAAACAACTGCAATAATAGTATTGAGTTATCCATTCAACATAATAAAGTAGTTTCAAACATGTTCTACCATCCATCTATTAATAGAGTACCGGCATCATTTGTTTAACTTTGTATCGAGACCTGAAGATGCTTTGCATATTGTAGAAAGCGAAACCGGTCGTCTGATAGTTAAATTAAATTGATTGTGAGTAAGTCTTATTTATTATTTCTTTACCTAATACTTAAAAGCTTTTCATATTGGAACTCTGTCAAAAGCTTTTTTTAAAATCTATGAAGCAAGCATATATGTCCTGATATTTTTAATTAAAACGCATATGCATTATTAAAAGTCAATATTTTTATTCATGTCCACCAACGCCTTAAAAAATCTTTTTCATTCATTTATAAAACAGCTCCTCTTAGTCACAATATTTATTGGAATTATGTAATGCAATTATGAGATGATTAAAAAGTATAAATAAATTGCTCACCGCATTTATTCGAGAGGTATTTGTAAAGGTAAATAATAGTAAAAGATAAGAGCAAACTGTTTATCACATTTATTTTAAATATTTGCATTAGATACAATTAATTTAAACAACAGTTCTTTTAAGCCTAAAATAAGAAGACAAGTAGTACACGCTACTTTACACAAACAACCTATTTATCTTTCTTTGCTTCACTCACACTTTGGTCTGAATTCTCGGTAATACTCTTTTGGTTTTCTTCTTGTTCTGCCTTATAGCCGTACTCATTAACACGAGTTTTATCTACAGGATATATGTATCTTTGATATAAATATATCAAGAATATAATGTCGTCTCTGAAACAACCAATCCTGTACATAGTTGGCATTTTAATAACGAAAGCAAACATATCATCTATAAAAGTATTCAAAAACTTGTAAGTTAACATTCTCCATGGTAAATGGGCTACTGATTTCAGTTTATAGTTTATAAACAATTGGGGAGTCATCATTATAAAACCAAACGTTAACAAGTATCCATAGAGAAGATCTAATACAAAAGAGTACCAACCTTTATGTTCGAGATAAATAAGTGCGTATCCACTATAGCACGCGAATAATGGAAAGCAAACCCACGATAGGTATTTAAATGCTAACTTATCATATACTTTTGTACTAGATTGGACATAAGAACTCTTATCTTTAAATGTTAATCTACCATTTTCGAATTTTATATCTACTACTTTCCATATCTTCCAAAATTCTATACCCAAACCTACTAAACAGGAAACTCGTATCAATGTGTTTGTTTCGTTGTCTAAAACGTACAGCAAAACAACTAGAGATTGAAACACTCCAAAGAATACGGACCTAACAGACAAACCTTCCAAAGAATTTCTGTTGTTCCAAAATTGAATATCATTCTTAAAAGCAAGAAGTTCGAAAACAGAGTGAACGATCGACACCGCGATAGTGATGCCTAAAAGATAAGGATTAGTATCCATCAAGGTTTCTTTAAGCGTGTCTTGTTCTTCGTCGGACTGTGTCTGTTCATCACCCCACACATTCCAACTCTGTCTCATATGTTGTGCGGCGTAAAGTTGCCATTTGAACAAGCTCAATGGCTGGAATGTAATTTGAAGTGAATAAGTGTCATTTAAAGGTTTATAATCACGAGCCATGTTCCAAAAGTCGTTCGCAAATAACACTGGTTTATATTGCTTTCCATCATCTGTGAACCGGATAAACTGATCTAGAGGGACCGGCACTCCACCATAATTCCACAAAGTTTGATCAGTCACCAGATTTAATGTAAAGTTTGGATGCCAGTGGGATATTATTTTTCCATCTTCAACTATTTCCTTTTCGGTTTCGCCGGTCAAGAGATTTTTTGTACCACTTGCTTTGAGCTTCTTATATCTGAAAAATAACAATCATATATTTAGAATTTTTAAATTTTACCTGTAATAAATATCTTTATTGAATTAAACTTGTAAATAATGTCCCTAAATTCACGCAAGAATTTTCCGCCATTTGTGCACAGTTCGAAAAACTCATACAAAATATGGTCGGAATATTTATTAAACTTCGTCATCTATGAAGTGAGTAATTGAAAAATTCAGGAAGACTGGATCAGTTGGTGATGCTAAACACACTGTTCGTTCAAAAATAAGCAGCTCAAATGTCAATATCGAAGCAGTGCGTGAGAGTCTTGGTGAAAGTCCAGGAACATCAATTTGGCGCCGTGAACAAGAATTACAAATTTTAAGAAACTATACAGCGTATACTCACTGAAGATCTGCATTTGTATGCTTACTAAATTCAATTGATACAAGAACTAAAGTCTAATGACCATGCACAGCGAAGAGAGTTAGTTGAATGGATTATTGAACATCAACAAGAAGATGCTGATTTTTTGAGCAGAATCATCCCAAGCGATAAAGCACATTTTTAACTTGTTAATCGACAAATTTGCCGAATTTGGGGTTCCTCTTCTTAACTGGCTTTACAACTCAGAGCTAATCTTCGCCGCATCCATTATAGCCATGTGCTTCCATTTCCCATTGTTGTACCCCAATGATAGATACATAAGAACCAGAAGACTAGAGACCAATCAGACCAAGAGAAATGGACTCCAGATTTGGACCACACGTCTTTGAAAATGAGGCCGGTCAAGCACTGGTGCTCGATATCGCAACATGATAACAGAGTTCTTTCTGCGTAAATTGGATTATATTCAAGGAGACGACATTTGGTTTCAACAAGACCGTGTCACATGCCATACAGACCGTGTCACATGCCATATAGACCGTGAAACAATTCAATGACTGCGTAAGACATTTTCTGCTCGTGTACTGTCTCGTTTTGGTGATAACAGCATTGGATTGCTTTTTATGGGAGTGTTTGAAGTAAGAGGTCTATGCCAACAAGTCTACAATCTTCTTCTAAATGTGCCTATCTTCTAGAGATGTTGGCGACCACATTGGCCCATCTTATTCTATTCAAAGAAGCTCGAAATAGATCAGTTGACGTTAGACCAGTCCATTTCCTAAAGCTATGGTTTGTTAAAACAGTGAGCGACGCATAACTCACAGTCAGTCGAACGCCGCGCACGTTCGTCAAAATCAAAGAAATGGTTCTCTATGATGAAGGTTTGTTAGGTTATGATGACCTGGCGCACTGCAGACCGATAGCCGTGTACGTCGACGGTGTGCGCTGGAATCAACTGCGATTTGATTTGGACGCAAACATTCAGCTGAGCTGACAGCGTACACATCTACACCGAAATTATAATTGTATGTTTATATAGTTATTAATATTGTAATAATTAAGTGATGTCTACCAAATTTTCTCCCGATGAAGATGAAAGACTAGTGGGTCTAACAAAAATTGTAAGGCAGTTCCAAATAAATCCTTGTAAAGTCTAAAAGATTCTCGAAATTTTTCCTCGTTTTGAAACAATCTTTCTTCGACTGTTCATTTAAAAAAACCTTCTGTGGGACTTTATCAAATGCCTTCTCGAAATCAATGAAACATGTATACACATCGCAGTGGACATCCCTGGTTCTCTGTATTAGAACTTGCAAACTAAAAAGTGCTTCCTTCGTTTCGAGTCCTGCTCTGAATCCAAATTGAACTTCACTCAGGTGTTCTTCTAATTTGGTGTATATGCGCGAGTTGAATGATAGTAAAGAGTACTTTAAGTACACGGCTCATCAAACTAATTAATCTTTGTTCTTCACATTTTTTAGCGTTGGCTTTTTTATAAAGTGGAATGAATATTGATAGTAGCCAGTCTTTTGATAAGTAACCAGTCTCGTAGATGTTGTTGAATAGCTTCGTAAGAGCTGTGATTTGGTGTGACTCTAATAGCTTTAAAATTTCATCATGCACCTCATCAGGTCCTGGTGATTTCCCATCTTTAATCCGCTTAATGGCCATAGTTACTTCTTCGTTTGTTATTTCTGGGCCGTAGGGATTGTTTATTTCAGTCTTACTTAGTGCTGCATCTTCGAATAATTCTTGCATATATATATTCTTTCACTACAAATCACCCTTCAATCACCCGTGCATTTAAGGAGGAAATTAAACGATGTATTAGAGAAAATCAGACAGTTATGCAAAATGGTGATGGAAAATTCCAACAAGAGTGCGTATCTGCCAGCAAAGCCGTGCAGGTCATTTACCCAACCCAACGTATTATTCCATACATAACTCTATCTTATGTTCTTTATAATTCAATAAAAAATTACATCCTAAAGAAAAAAACAGAGTTTTATTCAATTCAAATCTTGAGTAAATTTTGGGACATCCACTAAATTAAGTCAACCACGGAGGATTATTAGGACAGAAAAGCACGAAAATATTTTAAGTGTAGTATATTGTATTATTTTTTATAAAAAGTAAACATCCCTTTGGCGAGTCTTAAGATCAACAGGAATTCCATTAATTATTACAAACAGATAATCTCTAAGGGCCAAATCTGGCGAATACGGTGGATGCTCCAACAATTCAAACTTAATTCATGATTCATGGATTTTAGCCATTGTCAATATGCTCATATAAAACAGTGCAGTTCACTGTATCGTCGATACTAAATGGCTTGTAAACAAAGAATTAATTGACAGATTAAAATCAAACTTCACATAGGTTCATATGAAGAGTATTCAAATATAACAAAAAAGAATTAGGCTACTAACAACTAATATAATATTACAAAATACGATCTAGACCTAAAACGGTATAAGTAAAATAAATTTCAACATATTACTTTTGTTTTTTAAACATTATAAAATGACTATTGCGTTTCTAAATACAGTACATCTGTATTTATATTAAAGTATTTTCATGATTACCTAATCTGTTCTGACAAAGTGTTTGAAGAACTTCCATTATCACTATTTAAACAGTAGAAAAGGACAAAATCATTAGCAGTGTTTTACTAATTATTAGCGAAACAATGGTTTATAAAATCTCAAAAAATTATATTGAACTCTACATTATAAAACTATTTCGTATTCAAATTAACCGAATAACGAAATAAAATGGGCTGGTCAATGTACAGGGTATTTCCAAAATAATCTGTGGTATATTCATCATTCAATTCTAAGACGTACAAGATTCCTACAAATATGAGTGATCAATTTTGTCACTAATAAGATACAGGATGTTTGTAATAAAATCCTTACAGTAACAAGAAATCACAATGTTGAAGAAAGTCGACTGAGACCTGAAACATTTCGAAAGAAAGCTCCCGTGACAAAATTGAGCATGGAAGACTATGAAAGAATGTAAAAATATTTTTTTCATTGATTTTATGTGCAAATATGAATTCGCGATTGAAAACAAAGTATCTGACATATGGTGGAATAAATTTAAACTACTAAAACTGGTATAAACAAACCAGACAGCTGTTGATTTGAATAGAATTATTAAATTTTTTTAGTAAATTTCAGCATTATGACTACGTTAAAGTATTTTAAATCAAATCGATATTGTTCTGTTCCTCAATGCAATTCAAGATCGACAAAAGATATTTCAACTGTGGTTCTGGTTTTTGTTTTAATGCCACAAATAATTATATGGTTGGCATTGAAAACTGTTGATTTAAATAGAATTATTAAATTTTTTAGTAAATTTCAGCATTCTTCTTCTTCTTCAAGTTCCACTCCTATCGGAGATTGGAAATCATTCTGGCAATTATAATTTTATTGGTTACTCGCCTGAATAGTTCAATTGAACTGCATCCAAACCACTTACGGAGATTGCGTAGCCACGAGATTTTACGTCTTCCTACGCTTCTTCTACCTTTGATTTTACCCTGCATTATATTCCTTGGTAGTTCGTACTTTTCACCTCTCATGATGTGCCCCAAGTATTCCAATTTCCTGATCTTTATGGAATTTAAAAAAAAAATTTCAGCATTATGACTACTTTAAAGTATTTTAAATCAAATTGATATTGTTCTGTTCCTCAATGCAATTAAAGATCAACAAAAGATATTTCAACTGGGGTTCTGGTTTTTGTTTTAATGCTACAAATAAATATATGGTTGGCACTGAAAACTGCTTCCCCTTCAACCAACGGTTTCTTTGCTTCATCACAATACTCAAAGCTATCATTAACGCGTAATTTCCATATTTAAATGATAAAAATAACTCGTCTTAAACCAAACTAAACATGCAAAAGTAATGATAAACATTCGACTATTATGTTTGCTTATACCATTTATATCGGCCATGACACTGCAATCAAGTAGATTGTATGGCCCTGTATATAGATTCAATTTTGAAATTAGTATTACAATACTAATTATTATATTGTAAAATATTAAATAACTGTTTTTTAAGATAAGTTCAGTTTTTTTTTTCGAAATATACAAAATTATATTTATATTTTATAAAAAGTTGTTTACTATTAACTATCAACTGTTTAAATTAGAAAATTCTTTACTATAAATTACTATTAATTATTGAAACAACATTTATTACACATAACTCCAAAAAATGTACTACGAAATGTAACGAAAACATAATTTAGGCTTTAATTAAAATATGAACGCTTTGGCTTATTGCAACTCTGTGCAACAAATCTTCAAATTCCTATCACGGTCATAAGCGTTTTTATGTTTGGTTGCCGCTCAACTCGAAAACGGATGAACTGTAGTCATGATTGTATAGTAGTTTTAATATTTTTAGTCCGGCCCTGTTCCCACCGCCGCCATATTGGTATGATCGTTAACCACACATTCTGACGCCATTTTCTATATACACGTTAATATGCTCATGACTTCTCCTTAGATTCTAACTCGATGAAATTTGCTGATGTGTGATTTAAATGATGTGCTGATTTAAATAAAAATCATAAAAGTGATTTTTTATTTTTTGATAAACCTGATGCAAAAAATTTTTCTTAACTAAGAAGTGGATATTGATATATATTTTTACAGTTAAAATTGTCAAAATACATCTGAACTTTGTTCAATACATACACAGAAAATATAATACATACCTATTTAATTGCTTCATGACTGATGACATTTGATTTTTTGCAAAATTTTTAGCTTCAGGATCAGGACTGTATCCAGACCTGACTAGATATGCATGTATGAATAAGGAACCATTGTTTTTCATATGTGCAGTGATTGGGACTTGTTTTTCTATTGTATAAGATCCATCTTTATCCTTTCCTGATGTCCAGTCTCCATATTTAAGCCCTTCTTTGTACCAGAAAACATTGGAAGGACTATAATTATCCATTGTTTCATTTTCTGATAAATAAATATACAGATTCATTATTGTGCCATCTGGAAATATGTTTCTGGCTGCAGTTTGTGGCATTTTTACTCCTTGATCATTTGTTGGCTTTTGCGGTTGCGGACTTCTAAAGAATGAGAATATAAAATACATGATCATTGCTCTTATTATGAGAGATTTAACTACAGCCAGAAAGGATTCCATTTTTGTTGGCGCTCTTTGTTGAGCAGCATCATTTTGCTGAAACAACAAAAACTAAAATCAGAAATTTCAAAATTCCACGAGGAAACTAAGTTCCTGTAGCTGGCTGTATACCATATATCACAAAAAAATTTTGTTTAAAATCCTTTATAAAAGGTATATAAAAATGCCTCAAATGGGCTATCACAAACACATTGCAAAACTTTTTCGGATTAAACAATCCATCATCAGTGCAAACCTGAAAGTATATAACCACTTTAATTAAAAAGAACGTTAAATGAAAATGTTGACAAAGGTTAGAGCAAAATGTGGTTAATACTTACGGTTGTACATGCTAGTAGCCACCAAAATATATGGGTAAAAACCCTTTAAATGTTATAAATTTGAAGTTGTTTTACATTATTAGTATTTCTAATTTGTGATGGTTAAGTTACCGTTGGATAGGTAACATGGCGGCGTATGACTCTACATGAGTAAAATGGTCCTGAGACGAAGTGTCTATGAGGACCTGTTGATAACAACTGATCAAAATGACATTGTTGACAAGTTAGGACGGATGTTGTGTCAGAGCAGTCAGTGTAACTTACGTTAGTTGTCTAAAATTGACAGATGTCAGCCTTATTTAAAATTGAAAAAGTTAAAATTATAATAATGTAACAATATCAACCATCAATATTGTAATCTGTATTGTAAATTAATCAGATAGGTATATTTGTAACATTGAAAATTGGTTTTTTAAAAATTAATGTGGGTCAACTAGAATTTATGAAATTTTGTAGGATTGATAGGCAACCAATTATACATGTGTAAGGATATATTTATTTTAAGCTAGAGATTTTGTCAAAAGGCCCTGTGTGTTGTGAGACATTTGGTACCTAGAAAATGGTAAAAAGGCACATGTGGGAAGATGGGTCCTAAAAGATATATTATTGAGTATTGATGTAATGGGTGGAGGTGTGTTTGGATATGTTATTGAGCTGAAATGTAAATATGACAAGAATGTGATCATAATGTGGTGTTCATGTAGTACTCAACTTAAAACTTAAGTATGGAAGGCCCTCTATGTCAAAAAACTACATTTGGTACCTAGTAAAGATAAATAAAAAAAGATTTTTAAGTTGTAAGTAAGTGAACATGAATTACTGGTTATGTGTGTAAAGTATAGATGGTAGGTTGTTTATGTGTGTGGGCAAGTATGCCAGACTGAAAGAAAATTGATGGCTGAAAGATGGTTAGGTGTACATACTTGCTTTAATCATACAAAAAATAAAAGTAGGAACAGTAAATAACAAACATTAACAAAGAATGTACAAAACACAAGGACATCAGTTCTTAAGTTATTCTGTGTGTGTGTTCACACCATCGAGCAAAAAGACAAAAACAGGAATCTAATCGTTGTGAAAGGGAGACCAAAATTAATAAAAGTGGCCTCTGATGGCGGACATATCCGGAAATGCAAAGGCACCAAATTTAAATTTTACGACACTTCACAATAATCATACAGTAGGTAGGGGTTGTAATTTATCTATTTATTTATTTTATATTACATAATATTTTACATATTTTATATCTCTCATGTGACAGTTGGGACAAACAATAACATCAGAAATAACATAACGCAACTTAATTTGGTTGCTAAAAAGGAAAGAGACTCTCTTTCCCTGTTTAATGTGGCCTCTCAAGATGGCAATTCATGTCTAACAATATTTTTGCCCCCACTACCTTTACATTCCCTCTTCTGTCTTTTTGCTCGATGGTTCACACACAGAACACACCTGGCACACATTGGAAAGTGAGACACAGTTCCTAAGCTGAGCTTTAAATTCTTTTGGAATACTATAACAATCCAACCTTTTGGGAATATTGATTACCAAAACTTGATGTTCTAGATGTGAAGGAATTGTGTCAGTAGTTTGAACGATGGGGTCTAACATAAAAGGGTTGATTATGCCTTGTTTGTGTACTGAGAACATGAAGATTAATTTTTTCCAATAGTTGAGGACCAAAAATAATAGAGTGCAGTATACTATAATAGAACATAATGAGATCTTTGTGTATGCATCGAATTTTGAGAGAAATTATGTTGAGGGACTGTTCCATATTTAAATATTTAATTTCTTCAATCCTCCTGTTTTATTTAAATGCAACAAATCTTAAGAATTTGTGTTGAACTTGATCAATAGCTTGAATATGGGTGTTATAGTGAGGAGACCAAACACATGAACAGTAATCTAGGTGGGGTCTCATAAGTGAACAATACAAAATTTTTATGGATTGGATGTTTAGAAAGTCTTTAGCACATTTGATAAACCCTGAAAGTTTGATAAACCCTAAAAGTGATTTTGAGACAACAGATGAGATGAGGGGGATGTAGGATAAGCTGGAATCTAGCACAACACCTAGGTCTTTTATCTAAGATACAGAGTCTAAAGGGCAACCATTAATAGTATAGATATGATTTGTAGGAGTTTTATCCGACCAAAAACTATTAAATGACACTTTTTAACATTAAGTTCCATTCCGTTGCTGTCACACCAATAGCTCAACCAATTCAAATCAGACTGTAGTTTTTGATGGTCACCATCATTCTTAATTTTCAAATATAATTTTAAATTGTCAGCAAACATTAGGAAAGAAGCAAAGAGGAAACAGGAGGCAATGTCATTAACATAGTTATTGAATAAAAGAGGTCCTAGTTAGTGAATACCTGGTCAACGTAATTGACAGATACTTCACTGACAGATCCATAAGAGAAAAAGATACCAGCATCAGTTTGTCGCAGGGTGTTCCACAGGGTTCAGTACTACGTCCCATCCTGTGGAATGTCCTGTACGACGGGGTGTTGAGGTTACAGATGCCAAGGGGATGCACTCTTGTAGCTTATGCTGATGATCTCGCACTGGTTGCAAAGGCGAGTCAGAAAACTGACATGGCTAATGCGGCTAATACAGCCCTGCGTCGCATTAGTAGGTGGATCAGAGAGAACAATCTACAGCTAGCGCCTCAGAAAACTGAGGTGTTAGTTCTCAAAGGGACCCGGAAAAGATCCTCTCTTCGCTTTATAGTGGAAGGTGTGGAGGTTGCACCAGTTAATTAAATTAAATATCTGGGAGTATCGGAAGGTCTAAGGTTCGGAGTACACATCCAAAAGACAGTAGAGAAGGCAAACCGAAATCTGGAAGCGTTGATACGGTTGATGCCAAACATTGGAGGCCCAGGAAGCATCAAAAAAAAGGTGCTAAATGGAGTTTTCCAGTCAGTAGTAACCTACGCTGCCCCTGTGTGGTATAGTGTACTAAACACTACGAAATATGCTAAGCTGATGGAGACTTCACAAAAGCGAATGCTCCTCAGGGTGTCTAGTGCATATCCCTTTCAGGCCGCCCCTACACGATCGTGACGTTTCATTTCAAAAATTCCCGCGCATTAGAAACTGATCGTTTCAGGGTCATAGCAGCTCCAAATGATAGTACATGAATCATACTAAGTGTATACTAACGCATCTTCACGTTAATAGACAGTTAAATGTTGTTTATCGGCGAGCAAAAATGTCGGTGTACTTTGATGATGGCAGTGGTCGCAGTAAGTACCATTTTTCACTCATTTTCATTGTAGAAAGATTTAATAATTGAGTTGTTAATGTTTGTAAAGGAATAGATAATGTATGGAAATAGTAATTACATACAAATATCTATTTTCAAGAACACATTTTCTTGATCAAAAGTAAATAAGCACGATCGTGCGTGTCCGTCTCGTATTCACTTTTTAAAAGTTATTAGTTACATGTATTTAAAATGAGGTTTTTAATTTTTTTTTATTTAATTTAATTTTTTATTGTTGCAGAACTCGAGTTAACAGATGAATTAGTTCTGCAGCTTATTGGTGATGGAGATAATTCAGAAGTAGAAAGTATAGGTGACATTGAAGAAGTAATAGAAAGTAATAAACCGTTGAAAAATATTATTCACACCGAAGAACCTTCTTGTTCTTCTGGTAATCCAAATACTGTTGTATTAGGAGACAATAGTAGTCAAAAACCTACTAAATTAAAACAGAACAGCGGCGTGATCAGTCGAAGAGGGCTCTGGAGGCAAGTGCCATTTATTCAAAAAGATCACAGTTATTCAGTAAGACGGTCATCAGACATCAACATTAGAAATCCACTGGAATATTTCAAAGATTATTTTGATGATGATTTTTTTGAGAATGCTGCTATGTGTACTAATAATTACCACCTTCGAAAAACTGGTCGTGTGCTGAACACTAAGGCAACAGAATTAAAAAAACTCATTGGGGTACATATCATTATGGGTTGTATCCCTTATCCACGATTATACATGTACTGGCGTGACGAAATGCGTTTGCCTTTAGTTGCAAACGTAATTTCAAGAGAAAGATTCAAAATTTTACGTACGGCATTTCATGTCGTAGATAGTGACTCAGCTTTGCCAGGAAATACGAATTCGCTTTGGAAAGTACAACCAGTATTGGATCAAGTTAAGAGAACGTGCTACAGATTAGAAAGAATGCCAGGATACTACTCTATCGACGAACAGATGATCCCATTTAGCGGTACGTGCCCTCGGGGATTGCGACAAGTTATCAAAACTAAACCTAGGCCTCAAGGTTTGAAAGCATTTGTAGCCACTACTCATGATGGACTAATGATTGATTTCGAGATATACCAAGGTATAAGAACTCCATTAGAGGATAAGTCTTTAGGTGTCGGAGCTTCAGTGGTCCTCCATCTTTCAAAATCCATTCCTCCAGGAAGCTGCATTTACTTTGACCGCTATTTTGCTTCCGTACCACTATTGGAACGTTTAGATGTAATGGGATTGCATGGTACATGTACGATAATGATGAACCGATTGCCAGAGCGGAATAGTATGGATTTTAAAGCAGATCGAGACATGAAACGTGGTGAATGTCAACAGTTTGTATGCGACAATATAGTTGTTGTGAAGTGGAAGGACAATAAGTCTGTTCTTATTTCATCCAATTGTACATCTTCAGATGAAACTATTAACGTGAAACGCTGGGATAAACAGGGAGCAAAATATATTGATGTTACTGCGCCTAAAGTGATTGCTAACTACAACAAACATATGGGTGGGGTAGACATACTAGATCAATCATTAGAGTATTACCGGACTTTTATGAAAACTACCAAATGGACTCTTAAAGTGATGCTCCATTTTTTCGATTTAGCAGTAGCAAATTCTTGGAGATTGTATAAAATAGAATCTGAATCTTCTGCAGTTCCTAAAAACAAAATCATGGATCTTTTGGAGTTCAGGATGCAAGTAGCTGAAGGGCTTGTTAACGAACCACCTAACCGAAAAAGAAATCACGAAGAAACAGAAGGTAATGAAAACGAGAACCCCAATTCCTCTCCTAAATACAGACGATCAACTAAACCCTCGGAGGTTAAAAGGTACGATGGATATAATCATTTTTTCGATGAAATCGATAATCCTCGTGCATGTAGAATGGAAAATTGTCACAGTCGGTCAAAAATACGCTGTGAAAAATGTAATGTATACCTTTGCTTATCACGAAAACAAAACTGTTTTGCGATGTATCATAAGAAATAAATGTAAGGCAACATTTGTTTTTAGGAGAAATGTTTGAAAATTATTTACCTTTACTTTCAAACTCTTTAAATTAATATAGCTTGCATCTATTTATGCATTTTTATTATTTAATCGAAACCACTAACCTATTCAATACCTAGAAGTCACGATAGTGCACAAACACATTTTAAGCCTGAACGTCACTTTCGTGCAGGGTGAATATCTGCCCCGTGGAGGGGGAAGTATTTTTTTCAATATTTTTTGTGGCCTTAATATAAGGTCCCTTTAACGGCACTAACATTAAAAACCAATATTTTTATAAAAAAGAAGTCAGGCCTGAAAGGGATATAGGACAGTCTCGAATGAGGCTCTATATGTCATTGGAGCAGTGATACATACATTGGAGCAGTGATAAATACACATGAGAATGAAAGAGAAAAATTGATAGTAACGTGCATTTATTTTCCCATCTATTAAATGACAACTTGTTACTTTAATATCAACAAAATTGCTAGTACATTGCCAATAAAACTGTATACTGCTAATAAAACAAAAATAGTATCAACTGATAACTTCTCTAGTCCACACACAGTTTTACCCTTCAATTAATTTATTATATCTTTTTCTAATTTGTTGTCTTAACTTTCTCATTTGTTGTGAAGCTTCAAGAAAATATGTTGTTTAGATTAGTTTAAAGAAATTCACTAAGAAACGCTAGAAATTGTAAACAGTCAGAAAGAAATTATATTGATGCCAGACCTTAATGCACAAAAACTGAAAGAAAGGATTAGTAACAAAATGGTTGTGTATGTTATTAGTAACACAACATGGAGAAAATCTTGGATGAGAATGGAACAAGACTGAGTGATCTATCTGACCAGTATTCATTAAGAATATGTAATGGTTTCTTTTATACATAAATATTCATATACAAAACCAGCTTGTAATTAAAAATCAATAATATACTATGTAAATGTTAGAAAAGAGTCAATGATCAAGGTTGAAGACAAGAGAGTATGTGCACAAGCCAACTGTGGATCACCATTTGGTGAGATCAAGAAGATACATAAGAAATAAAGATCAAAACAGTTTAATAAAAATATGTATGTAGTGGGGGTGAAAACATAAACAGAGATATCCGAAAATGAAACAAGAAAGTCAACTAAAAAGGATGAAACAAAAAGCAGAAGCAACTTGCCCTGGATACATACCCGTAGAACAGCTAAAACACTTTAAACAATTGTTTAAAATCAATAAAGGACTTCAAAAAGGATGGTGCTTTTCACCAACATAGATGAAAAACTGAAATGGAACAATAAATGTGAACAAATGGGAGTGAAAATTGACGACATGGTCATTGTAAACTTGGCAGAAGAACTAAGGGTAAATAAATGTTTCAGAAAAATATTAGTAAAATTCAGAGAACACTAATTCTTTCATTAATTTAAATGAATTTCATTTGGCATATAAGTACTTTTCTGAAATTAATTTTGGACAATACTTGCAATTCACATCATTCTCAGCAATAGCTCAACAACTAGTTCAAGGGCAATATTACACCTTCAGACATTTTAAAATAGAATTTTTATCAAATATTTAAATTTTATATACCCCTATATAATTTAAATACTACCTATTTTTATATCATTATTATATACACAGTTCATAAATAATTTAAAGCTCAGTGTGGGTTATATACATATTATAAATTATTGAAGTTTAATGCTTTTAATTACTTAGTAGTTTAAGTATATGTAATAAAACTACACGACCACAATACTAGATTTATAAAAGATACTTACTGCAACTCCAGGTTCTTCATTGCTTGCTGTTATCTCGCCAGGAGGAGCCCCATTAACCTCTTTCTGAGCTGCACTCATTGTAATTATATTAAAGTAAAACTTTACACTAATATCATGTCACAATGATAATATATGACGGTTTAGACTTTTTAAAAGTATAACAATAACGTGAGTCAGTAAAAAATGTAACTAAATTGGTTAGAAGATAATTTAAGAACTTTGGATTTTTTGGGGATTTGTAATGACAGTGACAGATAAGAAGGAAGACAAGTGGCCATGATGACAATTTGGGTCATGTCTCAGTTCACCACGTCATTCGTAGGTACGTTCGTTGTATTGCACTCGAACTACTTGAAAATTCAAAAAACCTCGTACCTTTTTTAAGATAGAAGGATAGAAATAAATATTTATAGAATATTCATCTTCCTAATGGAATGTTAATATTGAAATTTATATTATTGCACCAGTTCAGTTAAATCGTTTTGTTTTACCAACTTAAAGTAGATCTTGTTATAGGATTTCGATTAGGATATAGATTATTAAAGGTATTACACGTTTGTAGTTTACTTCTTTACATATTACTATATTCGGTTATCATTAAAATCTTAAATCGTTATTTTTCAGATAACTGATTCATTGTCTTTTAGAGATTTACAGATTCAGTGGTATTTTCGTCTTTGATGACTGGGGTATTTCAATGAAAACCAGAATTAATAGTTTAATCAAACATCAAAGTTGTTATTGTTACAAGCACAGCTGTATGACTGTGTTAATGTATTATTTGAATTTGGAGAGATTTAATTTAACTTTCCGGAATTCAAATATGTAGTTTATTTACAGAAAATGGAAAATCTGACAACAATGGACATACCACCGTAAGATCATTTAAAATTTACCCTGTATATTTTGTTTATATATAAATGTTTATTAAGGAAATTGGGGCATTTCTCAATTGCGGGCACTCTAACCTAACCAAATATATTTTCCTCAAGGCACTGCGTCACAGTGTTGCCGTATTTATTTTAGTAAAATATGTATATGAATGCTACAAATATAAATTTACTTTTACGAAATAATAATTTGTGTTATGAGAAGCTACAAATTTTAAATAAGCATAAAACTTGCCGTATTTTTTTTGTAAAATGTATATGAAGGTTTAAAATATAAGTTACTTTTACGAAATTATAATTATAATGCATTTCTATTATATACGGTAATTTAATTATTACTATAAATTTTTTATATCATTTTAATCAGTTGTATTGTATATGCATTTGATTATTATCTTTAATTTAACTAAAATCTTTGAATTTTTATATAATTTCAATGCATTTCTATTATATACGGTAATTTAATTAGTACTATTAATTTTTTATATAATTTTAACTAATTTTATTGTATATGCATTTGATTATCATCTTTAATTTAACTAAAATCTATACTATTAATTTTTTATATATCACTTTAATCAACATTTGTATAATATTATGTGAGAGTATGAAAAAACTGGAGACTTGGCAACTCTGACACCATTTAAGCCAACGTTAAATGTCATATAAATGCTTGGTTAGGTTAGAGTGCCCGCAATTGCGAAATGCCCGGAAATTGTAAACGAGAAGTTTGATTATAGATTTGTCATCCATAAAAATCCAAAAAACACCACATTTTATATTACATACATCAATTTAAATTTTACAGCAAATACCACAGAAAACTAAGTTTACTTCACAGAATCATATTTTATTTGCGTGCCACAGAACACGGAGAAAGACATGTATTTAGTATGATAAAATTAATTGATTAATCCTTGAATTCATAAAACTTTGATTTCTGATATTTTCAAAAAAGAAGAAGACAAAAATAAAATAGATACCGATGAAAATGGCAGCTGGCCAAACGAAAACGATTAAAAAACATAACTAATAACATTTTATCTTTTATTTTTCTTAGTAACGTTCATACGAATACGACCAAGAACGACCTCAGACATTAGTGAACGTCTTCGATTAAAGGGAAAGTGTAATATTTTGACAAGTGATAATGCTTATTATTAGTCATCAATTGATGATTAAAAGGTAACGAGGACAATACCAATACGTGAAGTTATTTTTGTAAAAGATGGCCAAGAATCCACAAGAAGTGGTGTTTGAAGGCTGGCTGACAAAATCACCACCAACAAAACGAATCTGGAGGGCTGTAAGTAATACTACTTTTGACATTTCAATTAGCACACCTTGTTTGTATTGTTTATCTAAAAATTAATGATTCATACTTTAAGATAATGAGTCTATTTACTATATTGTTGTACAGAGTTTCTAATAACAAGTATATCCTGAAAGGTAGTGAACAAAAACTGATGTGTGTTGATACAGGTAAGAGCTGAATTATTAGTCCTACACATCTTAAAAACAGTTACTTTTTATAAGATATTGGTATTTTCAATGTTATTGTTGTCATTTAAGTTTATATTACATCTTCATTGTATTTAAAAATTAATCATCACTCTGGCTATAATTTATATTTTAATTAACTCTAATAGATATCAAGAGGTATTTCACTTATGGCAAAGGATAAATCACATAAGTACCTTAATTAAAATTTGACCTTTATGTATAAATCAGTAACTAAGAACTTTGTAATTACAGAATTACTTAGATCAGTATTTATTAACAAGTGTTTATGATACTATTGATTATATCACAAAACAACAAGCACATAGGAACAAAGAAAAGGTATGAAAACATTAATGATGTATTTTAAAATGTATAATCATAATTGTGTTTATAGGAATTATACATATTAAAAAATAATATTTTTCATTTAGATGAATAATCTCACCAGGACAAGGCATTATCAGAAAATTGATTGGGAAAACAATCTGATATTTTATACTGTCTTTATTTATAGCCCAGTCTAGTTATGTAAAAATCATTGATTTCACACTAAAATTTTTCGCAGATATCTGAAGACATAGGTGGGGTTACTAGATGACAAATTGATGAAAAAGTACTGGTATTTTCACCTTGCATTTTTTTAAACAATAATTTATGGTCACAATTCGATTTTTCGTCTATAAGTTTGTTCCCTTATATTTTACATAAAGAATATTTATATCAAGAATATCTTTATTTTCCCAGTTGTTTTTAAATTAAAATTGATAAATAATTTACGGAGATATTTGCAAAAAAGCAACTTTTTGCACTAATTGATTTTTTTTTGGCCTAGGGCATTTTTTTACAAAGTAATCCCAATATTAACTAATTACAATTATTTTAAACACAGCTTTAACTTAAATATGTATATATAACATTCTTTTAACTGGTCTGAAGGACCTGGTGTACAATATTTCTCCATTCGCTTCTATTTTGTGCTTTTTTTTTCCAGCCCCTCACCTTCACGTGTTTAAGGTCTTCCTCTGCTTTACTAATCCGCCTCATTCTGGGTCTACCTATTGTTTTGGGCCGATTAATTTTCTAGTTATTACTAGAACAAAATTCTGTTTGCTGCCATTCTTTCCATATGTCCCAACCATCTGATTCTTGGCAAACTTGGTAATGGTCGGTTCTTTGTATAAAGCCATTAATTCATTGTTGGTTCTTCTCTCCTGACCATCTTCTGTCTTCTGGCCTCTGAATATGTGTCTCAATATTTTCCTTTTCCATCTTTCCAGAATATCCTCTTCCTTCTTATTTAATGTCCATGTTTCACCGGCATATGTTACTGTGGGTCAAATTACTATTTTATATATTCTGAGTTTACCTTGTCGAGAAACGTAGTTTGAGTTCAGTAGGGCTCTTAAACTACCTAATTTTTTATTCCCTTTTGCTATTCTGGCTTGAGCTCCCAATTCTCTTTTCCATTTTCATTGAAAACTATACCCAGGTATTTAAATTTGTCCATCCTTTTTAAACTATAGCTTTTACCACTTACTGACCTCACACTTAAGTCTCTTTCTTCCCTTCTGCCCCTCCCATGATCATAATTGGTTTTGTATTCATTTAGTTCCAATCCGAATTTCTGTGCTTCTTCAATGATTTTCTTCACAACTCTTCTTAATTCTTTCTTGGTTTTTGCTAGGATCGATAGATCATCAGCAAATGCCAAGCACTGGTGCTCATTTTTAATGATCGTTTCTTCCACATTCATGCTGCATTTTCTGATTACAATTTCTAACACTAAGTTGAATAATGTAGTTTATAAAGGATCTCCCTGTCTCAAGCCTTTTGCAACCCTAAATTGATCTGATATGTGACCCTGCCAAGCAATTTCATACATAGAGTTATTAAGTGTCATTTTAACTAGCCGGATCAGTTTCTTTGGTATACCCAAATGTTCCATTGCTCGATACATTTTGACTCTATCGACTCTATCATATGCTTGTCTAAAATCCACAAACAAAACATGCAGGGGAACTTTACTTTCATAACAAGTCGTTTGTATCCCCTTTAATGAGAAGATTTGGTCTACAGTAGATATGTCTTTTCTAAAGCCAGCCTGATATTCATGCAGGATTTTTCCTTGTAGCAATTTAGTTTATTTCTCAATATTCTTGCCAAGATTTTGTTTGCCACACTAATTTATAGATTTTATTAATTTTTTTTATCAACAAAATAAAATGTTATTAATACATTTGAACATCAAGTAATTACTGTCTTTTAAATTTGTGCGAAATTTGCCTCCGATCAGTCAAATAGTTTAAAAGTTATTTAATTTATTTATCCCTGAGGCAGAACTATCGAACTTGCTCTATTAATGATGCTAGACACATAAAGCATATTTCATAGGATTCTTTAAGACCTAAACTATCTCAGAAGTTAAATGCATATTGCGTTTTCATCAAAATTATTTACAAAATAAACATTTGAAAAAGGGGTATGTTTTTTTACTTATAAACAATTTCTATAATTGTTTAAATTGTTGAAAAATAAACTTCTATATTTTTCAAGCTACAGTCTAATCAGCTATACAGTAATAGCTATGTTTTTGAGGTACTATTCTCATAAACCTCATTCTAATAAGAGGTAGATATGAAGTAAACAGAAGTAAATTCTATTCTCATAAACAATATCAAAATCATTGTGATATGCTACGTCAGTCAATAAGTCTTAGCTACAACATTTTTTTTGCAAAAATTATTTTGTTCTGTGTCACAGACAGCACACTGATCTTTCCATGGTTTATATATACATACTTACAATCATATTTTTGAATTTTTCATAGAATGTTTTTTGAGTCACTGTTGGAATTCCAGCTGATTGAGTCTCCTTTTTGGATACACTTTGCTAATGTATTGATGCAGCAGCTCCATATATAGTTTTTTGTAGGTTTTTTGACAATTATAATAGATTCTTGAATTTATTGAACTGAACTTTTTTTGTTATTCACTTGTATTATCGTTTTTTAGATGCCTGAGTTATTCTCCATCAATAGATAGGCCTTTGTTCTGTCAGTTCATTTATATTTTCTAGAGTTGCAGTGAAGAGCTTTGGTTATATTGCGTCTCCTTGTCAGACACCTCTGTGAGAAATTCTGGTGTGTTTTCATAAATTTTTACCTTAGCTTTTGCTTGTCTGTAAATAATTGCTTAAGTCTCTATGTATAGTTTGTCAATGAATTGTTTGGTCAAAGCATTGGGATATATAGAATCGAAAGCCTTCTCAAAATCTATGAAAGTTAATACTAGCAGTATTTCATAATTTCATATTTGGCTCTACTCATCAGTTTTCGAAGTGTATGGATATGATCTATGGTACTGAACCCACTTCTGAAGCCAGCTTGCTCTCTTGGTTGTGAAGTATATAATGCATTTATTAATCTGTTAGTGATCATCTTTGTGAATATCTTGTATATGATTGATAGTAGGCTTATAGGTCTACAGTTTTTGATATACTCTTGCTACCTTTCTTATGTACAGGAATTAAATTTGCTGTATTTCAGTGGTCTGGTATTCATCTTGATGTTATGCAGTTCGTAAATATGCCTGCTAAGATTTTCCAGGTTTTTTGCCAGCATATTTAAGCAGTTCCACTATGATAACATCTATTTCAGCTGCTTTACTGCTTTTAATTTTTGCAATTTTCAATTCTTCCGGAATCAATTCTGGTACATATTCTTGGTTACTGATTGCTTGTTTAAGTTTTTCAGGGGCTTTGTATAGTTTGCTGTAGAATTTAGTGAGATTATGAGTTGTAATATTTCATTTTTGACTGTAATTCTGGTGTTTGCGTTTGTTAGAGCAATTTTCAATTAAATTTTCTATGATTCTTTCATTGTATTTTCTTATGTCTTGCTTAATACTTTTTCTTATTGTCTTACAAAGTTCTGTGTATTGTATTCTCTGTATGTTGCTACTTACTTTCATTTCTCTTCTTTGTTTTAGTATTATTTTCGTTTTATTATATAGTTTGCTATGTTCATTTTGTTGTTGCTAGCTTCCGATTTCTTTGGCGCTATCAAGGATGATTTCCATTAATTGAGAGCTGTCGATGTGGTTATATAATCTTTCATCAATTGTCCATTGGTGGTGATCTAGTTTTCTTTTAGATGGTTAATATTTATACCAGTTATTGTTGGTTTTACGATTAATTTTATTCTTTCTAGTTTTAGATCTAGAACAGTTTTTGCTCTGATTGGTCTATGGTCGCTGCCTGTTTGAAATTATTTATTTATTACACTGACATTTTTCATTGTAGCAATCTTGTTGGTTAAAGTAAAGTCAATTTCGTTCGCAGCGGTTCCAATGGGTGATACCCAAGTCCGTTTTCTATTAGTTTTTTTTTCTTAAAGAATGTATGTGTGTTTCTCAGTGTGCAAACTGAACCAGTCTTTCTCTCTTTTGATTTCTCTCACCGACTCTATATATTCTCATGACTTGTTCCTTGCCGTTTCTCTTTCCCACTTACCAATTAAGTGCTTGAAGTGACTTTCATTGGAGCATATATTTATATAATTTGTATATTGTATTTTTGTAGTTGTAAGATTAGCTACTTTATCCAAGATACTAATTGTTTCTACTACTCCTCTTTTCCATTCATTTCCTTGATAGGAGGATGTGTTTCCTGACGCCAATTTAATAGCTCTTCATCTTTCTGTCATGCTTCACGTATTCACTGCTTCACTGAGTGTGTCTTTAATGTTAGGAGTTGTGAGGCGTACCTACAAGCCTCAGTGGGGTAGGTAAGGGTCCGCTGGTGTGTTCTGATTATAAAGTGCTGAAACCTGTCTTTCACCCTCCTTCTGCTATATAACTTACTCCCATAATACGCCGTATATTGCCTGGGGATTACGGCAGGCATTATTATGTCTTAGTGGATATAGGAGGTAGGATTCGTTGATAGAGCTGGATAACTTTTTAGATCAGCTGTGACCTATTCGTCAATATCAGGTGATATTGACGAATATACTGGAGAATTTAATGTTTGCTCTTACCAGCAAAAGAACAACTCCTTTGAGCAGTGGACTTCAAATAATTTTTTAAACAAAAGTTGTTAACTAAGTGGGTAAAGTGCTTGATAAGATTCGCAATCAGTGCTACGCAAAATTAAACCTCAGACAACATCTTGGTGTGATATTGATCTTAACTGACAACTGTTTGTGAAGTTAACTCGGTTGCATATAGGTCACAAGAGATTGATGCATAGTTACTTAATAGCTAAAACAAACCAATACACAAAAATTGTGTGATTTGTGTGAACAGTGAAATAACCATACATCATATTTTAATAGACTGCCCTAAATTTAATAAAGAAAGACACACAAACTTATCATCTAACAAATTATGTAAAATTTTAGGTCCAAATTGTAATATTAATAAATAGCAAAATGTATATATATATATATATATATATATATATATATATATATATATATATATGTTAGTTTGAAGTGTTTCACGGATGGAGTAATATGTTGAACAATTATTCCGGGAAAATATCCGTTGGTCAATCAAACGTCTGCAATTAAAAAATGACCAACGGATATTTTCCCGGAATAATTGTTCAACATATATATATATATATATATTATATATATATATATATATATATATATATATATATATATATATATATATATATATATATATATATATATATATATATATATAGTGAAAAATTTATTAGTTACTGTCTCATTGATTTAACTGATAAATTACACAGCCCAGCTTATATTATACTTTATAATATTAATTTTGTAATTTTAGAGGTGGAGAAGAAGGTGGTTTTTACTGACACATTCTGGAGAGCTACCTGGTCAATATATTCTCACATATTACACTGATAGAAATTGTAGGAAGCTTAAAGGAGTCATCAATTTAGATCAATGTGAACAAGTTGACTTAGGGCTAAAATTAGATGAAAGAAAATTAAAATTTGATCACGTTTTTGATATAAAAACACCAACTCGTACTTACTACTTAGCGGCCGATACAGATAATGAAATGAGGTCCTGGGTGACATGTATCTGTAAAGTATGTGGCTTAAAATCTACAAGTGAAGAAGAAGAGGGTAAGTTAACATATAACCATATTTTTAATTTGTTTATATGCATTATTATTCCTCTCTGTTATGTTACGACACTCTTCATTTAACCACTGTTCTTCAGTTGATTTGAGCTTTTTTTTGTAAACGCAGCGTCTCTTTGGCCGCGTCTTGTATGATGTTTTTACACGCTTCCCATTCTGTTTATATCCTCGTGCTTTTGTCTGTTTTCTAGCCTTCCTTTTATATATTTTTTGTATTTTGCCTTTTTGCTGTTTTTTGCTTTTTTAGTTTTTTATTTCATATTTTTCAATTTCGAATCCCTTTTCTTTTTTAATGTTTGAGATTCTGGCTCTTATTCTACTTTCCACTAGGTAGTAATCCGAGTCTTCATTTGTCCCTCGTCTGCTGCATACATTTATTACGTCTGAGTAATGAGTCAATAATAACATGGTCGATCATGTTTACTGTAGCCCCATCTGGAGATCTCCATGTTCCCTTATGAATATTTTTTCGCTGGACGCATTTGCTGGCAATGACCATGTTAAGGGAAGTTGCTAGATTTATATTATATATCCATTGTCATTGGATACCCCATGAAGGCTGTGCTTACCTATGTTGGTAGGTATTGTTGCTCTTTTCCTATTTTTGCATTGAGATCACCATAAATAATTTTGATGTCATTCTTTGGACATGAATGGTATGCAGCTTCTAGTTATTCATTTTATAAGTATTATTTAACTTTCTTCTATGTTCATAAATATTATTTAATCCTCTTAGTTTTTTATATTATGAGCAAATGTATATGCAATAATAAAATATTGTTACACAAAAATTACTCAATTGTTTGTTTAATTTGAACATTTAACTCTTTAAGACACATTGGCAACAATGCAGAGCAAAAACTTCAAAAATATATATCATGCCGGCAGCAATGTTACTTCTTAACTTGGATTCATAAAATATTGTAAATATAAAAGCAAGTTTCCGATTTAGCTTAGAGTTAATACTTGACGTTCTTTACATATTGATTTTTTTAGTTGTACATTTAGTGATATAATAAAAATTAATACCTTTAAAATGATAAATGCAAGAATAAATGCAAATATTTAATTACATGATTTTTTTAAGGACAAACTACAGATCCATGTCCTTATGTGGAAGTTACTGAAGAACCTAGTGAGAAGAGAATTACGTTATTGAATAATTTTAATGATACACCACCAGTATCTCCTGTTAGTACTAGTCCATACATTCCTATTTCGGAGTGTATTACTGGAAAATCGCCTATATTTGATCCTAAGGTAAGCTTATGAAGAGTATGAACATTTTTCCTGTGTAATAAACAACATTTATATCTTTATACATAAAAAATCTCGTTTCACGATGTTCATTTACGCTAATCTCCGAAACCACTGAACCCATTCCAATGAAATTTTGTAATAGTGTAATTTTTGGTCCAATTTAAAAGATAGGGTTATTTTTATCTCGATAAATGACTCTTTTCAATTATAAATTCAAAATTTTTTATAGCAAAATGATTGTAATTACTTTTAAGCTACAAAGATGGCGCTAATTTTTTTTTTTTTCAAAATAATTAAGATTTCAATAGATAGCGGTAAATGTTCTACAGTTTTACTTAAATCTAGTTTGGTTAAGCATTTGATGTGTGGTATATATAATTATTGTAAGTGTTCCACAAATTTAAGGCACAACAACGTGTGTGTTTGGTTTCTTACATAGTATTTTTTATATTGCTAATAACATTACCCAAATTTGTTCTAATTTTATTTCTTACAATGTTACATTACCTTTATCAAAAAACAAATTAACGAAACATATTGTGCACCAATTAGCACTTAATTGAATTTCAATTAAAGGGTGGAATTTAGAATAGTATATAATTATTGGGAGTCAAAATTATTCTGTTGGCGGTGAAATTCCATGACCCTGGTGCCTAAATCAGGCCGAATTTGACAGATGAAATGGTTTATGTTGGCTTTGAGGTCCACTTTGATTTCTGGTTTATTCTCATATATCCGCAACTTAAAAACACACCAACCCGCCTTGACATTGTGGTGTTTTAAGGCAAATACTTTTCAATTAAATTTGAGATTTTAAAACAAAAACGAATGTACCCCGGGTGAATATAGCGAGAAATCGAAAGTCACACTGATTTATCAATCTGTTCCAAGGATTATGGGGGAGGGGTACAAAAAACTGACAACGCGAAAGACGAAAAACCTTTAACACTCTGTACCTACAATGCCAGATTATTATTATCTGAAGAAAAAGCACCGAAATGGAAATCGAGATGTCAAAAGTAAAATGGGATATCATTGGAGTCAGTGAAGTAAGGCAACATGGAGAAAACATGACAACACTAAAATCAGGGCATATATTGTACAGTATAGGTAGTGAAACCGAATCTAGTGAAACCTTAATAAAAAATCGATAGAATATAACAGATGACCGGCTTACAAAGTTAGTACAAACATAGTACAAAAACGCCACAATGCGTGTAAAAATGCTCAATCTTCGTCTATTAGACCCTGAGCTCTAATAAGACTTTTGGATGATTTTAACTTCAGAAAGACCACTGAACTGAAACTAATTATAGCGATTCTCAGTTCTCAATAACAGAAGAAGTAAACTCAAGACGTAACGAATAGGAAGTCCGTGAGGACTTTCTTTCGCTTCCAATAAACAAGTTTTGTGAGACGGTACACTAAAAGTATTTTTAAAAATAATTCACAAAAGAATATTTAATAAATTAGAAGTGGACATAAGCGCCACACAGTTTGGATTCAGAGGTGGACTGGGAACACGGGAAGCTTTGTTTGGTCTGAGTGTGTTAATGCAAAGATGTTTGGATGTAAACCAAGACCTCTACGTAGGTTTCATAGATTTTGAGAAGGCCTTCGATAAAGTCAGACACCAAAAGCTGTATGAAATCCTAAGAAGCAAAAACATCGACAGTCACGACATTAACATCATATCCAGGCTGTACTGGGGACAAAAAGCAAAAATCAAAGTTGATAATGAGTTAACCGAAGAAATTAAGATTCGTCGAGGTGTGCGTCAGGGTTGTGTGCTTTCTCCACTATTGTTCAATATATATAGCGAAACAATATGTCAGGAAGCGCTCCTAGAGCAAAACATTGGTATGAACATTAACGACGAGTTAATTAACAATATATGATACGCTGATGACACGCTAATAGTAACAGATAACCTAGCAAATTTACAGTTTTGGGTGGAAAACATAAACACTCATACCAATAAGTATGGTCTAAAACTGAACATTAAAAAGACTAAATTCATGATTGTAACAAAGAAGCTATATGGCTATGTGAATTTAACCATAAATAATTAGCCAGTTGAAAGACTTACGTCCTACAAATATTTAGGGGTTTGCTTCACTGATACTAATGACCAGACAAGAGAAATCAAAAGACGAATTGAGATAGCGAGACAATCGTTTGTCAAAATGAAAAAGTTCATATGCAGTCGGAACATAAATATAAACTTAAGAACGAGAATGTTAAGGTTCTATGTTTTCTCCGTTCTGCTGTACGGCATGGAAGCCTGGACACTGAAAAAGATAAACATCAAAAACATTGAGGCATTCGAGATGTGGTGTTACAGGAGAATGTGGAAAATACCATGGACAGAAAGAGTAACAAATCAAGATGTTCTGCTGAAGATGGGGAAGAAATGCGAAGTCATAAAAACCATACAAACGAAAAAACTGGAATATCTGGGCCACAGAATGAGAGGAGAAAAGTACTCTCTGCTTAGACTCATAATCCAAGGAAAAATCTCGGGAAAGAGAAATGTGGGACGTAGGAGGATTCCTGGTTGCGAAATTTAAGGGAGTGGTATGGGTGCAGTTCAATACAGTTGTTCAGAGCTGCAGCCAACAAAGTAAAGATTGCTGTGATGGTAGCCAACCTCCGATAGGCGAAGGTACTGCAAGAAGAAGAAGTGAGACGGTGACGAAATTTTTAACATATATCTGGTCATTGATCGCGATTATCCAAGTTAGCAAGAAACGGTGGATTTCTAAATCACCGGTAGTGAAATCACTTGCCTTTACTAGAACAAAACCATACTATTTAACATCTATATATCTATCTATCTACCATCTAAAGAGTATAATTAATTTATTGATTTATAAATTGAATAATTTTTGTAACATTTTCTTGGTTTTTTGGTAGTTGTTTAATCTGTTAATTTTAATATATCCTAACACTTTGACGATGAAAAAATTTAATTAAAAAAAGATTCAATTTAGTTACAAAACGTTTTTCATCATCATTTCCGTATTTGTTTATTTATTACCTATAACATTTTTTTTTAAATAATATGTACATGATTTAAAATTATATACACATTGTTTTGTCAGCATTATCTATATTTTGGCATTTTGTGTTTTAGGATTTTAAGACATTACTACAGTATAACATGAAAAACACAATATTTAAATCTGATCCAATAACGCACACCAACGAAAGCTATGAACTTCCACAAAGAAACTATTTAAATTGCCTAAACGTTCAAGAGGATCCTAGATTTTATGACTGTCCAAGGAAGCTGGGACCTCCAGTGCCAATCCAAAAAGTTGAAATAGAGAATGAAAAAAATCATTCGCCCCTACAAAGTCCTACAGATTCTGATAGTGTATTTAATGATGAAGACTGGCCACACAACTCGTCTTCTGATTTAAGTAAGTATATAGTTTTTTGGTGTATATATATACTATCAAAATTTGCAATATAATGTTGTCGATCCCTAAGTAGATATTTACTATTTCAGAACAACCATTTCGGTTGTTCTTAAGGAATGAGGCATATAGTGAAGAATCTAGTGATCTAATGTGAGATCTAATCATCGTGATGCATTACTGATAGGAGTCATCATGGAGACCCGGATCCAGTGAATAATAACATAATCTCAAAATGATACAAGTTACCATCAAAAAAGGAAAAGCAAAAATGGATATAAATAAATATAATAAATCTTAAAGTACTAGTAAATCATAATTGGGGGCAGACACAACACAGCTACTAAATATTTACAAATCCTTAATCCGCAGTAAATTAGATTATGGATCAATTGTATATAATTCAGCTAAGGACTCAACATTAAAAAAAAATAGATATTGTACAAAATACCGCACTAAGTCTAGCTCTAGGAGCCTACAGAACCAGTCCAGTTGAAAGTCTTTATGTCGAAGCAAATGCATCTCCACTTTCTATTAAAAGATTACGTCTTAGTTTACAATACGCAAGCAAGCTAATAACTAATCCAAACAACCCGGCCTGTCCCTATGCTTTCTGCACACATTACCATTCTAATTACAATCAAAATCCTAATCTTCGACCATCATTTAGCAAATGAATTAGCAACTGTTGCGTTCTGCACATACGATGACCTCAATATAACAATTGAGATCATCCTGAAGGGGAGAGAGATATTCTGTTCAATCTAGAACTCGCTGGTTTCCCCCTTTCGAATTGGGTACGTATATTCAAATAAAAGAAGAGAAATGAAAGGCAGCGGACTGTATAAAGCTCTATTTTAAAAAGGTGTGAAATTAAACATAAATATACATAACCAAATATACCATTATAATTAAAGAAGAATATACAAACTTAACTATTAGCTACTGTGAAACACACCAACAGACACACCGAAAGACTACCATAAACCAACCAAAACAAAAAGATGTCGATTCTTTTAAAAACCACCGACAAAACAAAAGACAAAACCTACCATAGCCGCAAACATACTATACATAAAAAGATAAAAGCCAAATTAATAATCTTACAAAAAAATCATAAAAATATGGATATATATATGTCAATGGTATAAAAACAAGTAATAATGCGTTAGCATACAAATAATTATTACAATTATTAATACAAAGCACACAAGCAATAAAATCGGTGTTAAAGTACAAAAAATTTACAATACAGTAAATAAACCGCGAAACAAATGCAAAATGTCCAATTGACAATGTTCAATCGCGATCGCGGCACAAATGAGATAATGTTCCAAAAAAGTATCAAATAAATATACCAAGTGCGCGTACTTGATATATGCAGCAAATTATATATATATATGTATATATATATATATATATATATATATATATATGGTGTATTTATATGGTGTATTTTTCCTTACCCCATGAAAAAGATAGCCCCAACGCTATCGCAAATTGTGTCTTCAGCGACACTTCAACTACCAAAGTTGGTGATGCACATTTGCGTCTTTTTTCGTCAAAAGACCGATACGGAGTCAGGTACTCTTCGTCTTCACATTGTTCACATACACATGTTCATCGTTTGAGAGATACTTTTCGACTTTTTTTGTGTTTGAAATGCATCCCCTATCTTAGGTACCACACACATGTAGTGATATTTGGCAGATGGCCAGCCTTGCAATCTTTAGCCCTTAAAACGGCTGTGTCACTTACACGCAAATCTGGTTTCAAAATATACGAGGAGAATAGAAACTAGAAATAGAAGTATTAAAAAGTACATTTACAAATGTTTATATACAATTGCGAAACTGCAACAGCAACTTCACATTTCCAGGTATTATGCATAGCAATATTGATTATGGTCCCCCTTGGACTATAAAAATTTCATATTGTAAGACAGATATATCAACTTATACTAAGGACAATACCCCCTCATCTCTTTTTCTCCAATACTTCTACAATATTAAAAATAAATATTCATCCTGTCAACTAGTTTATACCGATGCATCAAAAACACCCGAATTGGAAACAGTAGGATCCGCCATTGTCACAGAGGATTCTGTGCTCAAGTTTCCACTACCTAAGAACTACTCAATATATTCTGCTGGACTTTTTGCGATATCCAAAGCAGTACAACAAACCCCTAATCGACTTGAAGACATGACAGTAATATTCACAGATTCCTTAAGTGCAATCCAGGGAATTCAGAAAATATATCCGAATCATCCGACTTTAGAACAGATTAAAAAAGACCTTGCGACTCTACAAAATAATCATAAACAACTACATATTGTGTGGATACCATCTCATGTGGGGATACCAGTAAATGAGATAGGTGATCAAATGGCCAAAGAAACTTGTAAAATGGAGAGATCCGATGATAGAACTAACCAGATACACAAAAAACTTATGGTTACGAAGATGGCTACTCTTACCAAATAATAAATTGCGGCAAGTAAACTCAGATCTACCAGCGAAAATACCAATTTTAGTAAAGCGAAGGGACCAGGTTGTACTACATCGTATCCGAATATGACATACCAGACTGACGCACGAACACCTACTAAGGAAGGAACCTCCTAGAATATGCTATAACCGTAGGCCACATTGTTATAGACTGTCCATTATATCAAATGGAAAGACAAGCTACTGGACTACCAAGTGATATAAAATGCGCTTTAGACAGTGCATATTGTGACAAAATCATTAGGTTTTTAAAGAAAACAAAATTGTATAATAAAATGTAAGGTGATGCTTCAAAGAAAAATTCTACATTATAATCAACTTTGTAAAAATTTTATAGGTAAAAAAAATGGATATATGGTAATTATGAAAAAATGTACTGAAGAACTTGGAGAGGATAAATTTATTACTAAACTTTCCACATTTTAGAAAGGCGTACTTGAACACCTGATTGCTCCAAAATATTTTAGGACCACTGACGCAATAAAACACTTAAATCGCTTTTTTCCTTCGATTTATTGATAGTGCATTGTTTATTGAAGGACTGGTTCTATACATTGATAATTATCGCAATTCTGATAATGAGAAAAAGAGTTTACAAATATCATTAGCTTCACAGTGCTAGGGAGGAGTAACAAAGATACAGAGTATTCAGAGAAACAAAACTGGTATAATCGTTTTCATCGTTCTTGGCGTGTACGTGTAAAAACACTTGCAATAAGTTGTTCCATCTGTCGTTCCTTGTCTAAGCTCGATTCGTTTACCTCCTCCAGTGGCGAAGCAAAATGAAGCATGTCAAACGAAATAATAGTTATAAAAGAAAATTATAAATTATTTTTCATTAAATTTTTAATCACGGAATATACGTATAAATTGCGAAGAAGTATTTTTCTAGCTTGCAGTACAATAGGACAGGATATAACGAAAAGTACATTTTAAAAGGATTTTGAAATATACCCAAAAAAGTGTTAAATTATTTAACCCACTTTAATTAAAAAATGATACAGATTTTTTAAGTTTTAAGCACTGTAGCGAATTCTGAACTGTTACAACGTACTGATCTTGATTAATTAGCTAATCAGTCAGCGTCTTCACTGGAACTGTCTTCATTATTGGAATCTTCCACCAAATCGATGATAATCCTACTTTCATTTTCATCATATGTGACCATTTTTGCCCAGTCGTCCTGAATTAATTTTTCAGTATGGTTAACACAACTCGCCCACACTGCAGGTGTTGCCTCAGCTAATGCATCGCCCCAAACTTTTTTCACTGTTTCATCTCCACGTCCATGTTCTCCAATATGACGATCATAGTATTGTTTAGAAATGCCCCAGACCAACTCAATCGGATTATATTGACAGTGATATGGAGGCAATCTCAAAACCTGATGCCCATGTTCTTGGAGTAGCTCGTCTATAACGTACCTGGTATTTTGTGGTTTATTCTGGCGACAAAGACTCAATAGATCTGTCTTGCCCGAATCGTCGTCAAAAATTATTTTTTTCGCTCGTAACCATTCTTGTAAGTCCGTTTTTTTTTCCCAACTGGCATTCGGTAATTTTTCTATTAAAGAGCTATGGTATGAGGCATTATCCATAATAATTAGAGATGGTTCCTCCAACATTGGTATCAGCTTTTCGGAGACCCACTTTTTAAAAGACTCTTTATCCATAGAATCATGATAATCTGCACTCTTCGATTTCGTAGAAAACAGTAATCCAGCTTCTTTAACAACGTGAGTACAACAGCTACGTGAGTAGCGTAGACGTGAGTGGTCTCTTCATTCCCTTCTCATTGCACTTTACCATGACGAACGTGACTCGCACAATTGAATTACGCATCTGTGTATCAGAGAGAGACGAATATTAAAAATTCCGTAGTAGCTTATTTCAGGCACACGCCAAGAACGATGAAAACGAGTATATACGAATACGATTTAACACAAAACACCGGTTCTACACGTTGACGCATCTACAACTCACGCACTTTTTACGGAAGCGTCAATACACCCGGTCTTCACATGCCGGAAGGTCTATAACGCGGTTTGGAAAGAGATAATATGCGGGAGCCGGTCACAGATATATTAACACGAGAGCTGAGCGCTCAAGTTGTTGAAATAACTACGATTACAATATTGTAAGTAGGTCGTTTTACAACAGAACCAATTTCTTTACAAATTGTGGTCATGAATTAGGATCTTATGAGAAAGAAATTCTTTTTAATTGTGAATAAGCAACATAAGAAACTTGTTTTTTATTTTGTTGTATTTTTCGTGATCTTATTTATATATTATGTTTTCCTTGGTTCTTTTATTGTTGATAAGTATGAAATTAAGGCGAATTTAATTTTTTTAGATACATCTAAAAATACAAGAAAGTCAGAAAGTTCCGATGATGGAGAGAATCTCGTAGCAACTAAAAAATTTACTAAATCAAATACTAATAATGGAATTACTACTGCAGCTGCGCCTCCACCTAGGCCACCAAAACCAGCACATATCGCACCACTTCCATGTTACCTTAATCTAACGCCTACTAAAACAATGTAAGTAATAATTACTTCTGTATGAATCTAATTTAAAAACCCTACTCAATAGTTTTCATATATCTTCTCTCAGCAATGTGTAAATGTGAAAGCTGTAACCAAACCAAGCCAGCCAAATATAAAAGTTTCTGGCAGCTATTTCAGCGATTTTTTAATAATATTTTGATTATGTCTTTGTGATTTCATATAGTTAATATATTATCTTCCATCCTATGACTCTAGAGCCCTCACCTCTGTCACCAAACCTTTTCATCCATTACGGCCTGTAGCCATTCTCGTCCACGATCGACTGCCCAGAAGATTTCTGGCCTCCTCATCCACATCATTCTCCTATCGCTTTCTCGGTCTTCCAATAGGTCTCTTTCTCTCCCTAGAATATAGTGTTATAAACTATTTCTCGTCAATCTTCAGTATCCAAGTTTCTTCCCACACAAATTACAACGCTGCTAGAGCGTAATCTTCTTTATTTTTGTACAAAATTAAACAAATAAACTATAACTAGAGCAATTTTGATCGCGGATTTATCATCCATATGAAAAACTCCCCCAAAATGATGTGTAATAATAATCTTGATGTTGGGTAAGGTAGTTTTTTGGTACATAATTTTTTTTAGTTTGTGGTAGTTAAGTTAATATCGACGTACTTTTAAAATTTGCCTTTTAGAGCAAGTTTTCTAACTTTGTGTTACCATTCGTTACCATTTTTGTTTGTTATTATTCGTATTTTTTAGTTTTTTTCATTTTTTTTTGCCATTTTTTAGTTTTAACATAATTTTTGTTCTTTACAGCAAGGACGCAGAAAGTGAGAATGTAAAAAGCGAAACTCAACAGCCCAAGTTGACAGACGATATGTACGACTTTCCTAGATCGCATCACATAGAAACGGATGCTACCTTAAAACGAAGACACTGTTATAATAATGCTGCGCCCGTGCCTTGCCCTGAGGGTACTATTTTTAGATACGATATTTCTCCAAAACCTACTACAAGCACAACGGTAAGTTAAATTTTTAATATCAAGTTAGTTATTATTTATTATTTCAAAGAGGATTGAAATAATATTTCGGTATTTTAACATATACGAGGGGATTTCAATATACACCAAAGAATTTAAAAATGCTACAAATCTAGTTGAAATAATATACAATGTAATAAATCAAATATCTTGAATAACTTAAAACGAAACCTTTTCAACAAAAATCGATTGAATTATTTCAAAACTCTCGCAAACATTAACGTTGCTATTATGATGCATAGTTCGAAATTTTTATGTCGTAGTGTATTATGATTATTTGTAAAAATCGACCTATTACAGCATTTTACTGGTGTAAAATTATTCACATCAATTATTTAAATGGTACACGTATTTATTAGTCACAATAAAGCATTGTCTATTTTTCAGGTCTTTCGATACGATCTGGAAGAAGGTCAAGATGAACCTCCCTCTCCAGCCCATTCTCATTCTTCGTCCGCGCCTGCCTACTCTAATTTACCTAGTCCTTCTTTAAGTGTAACACAACTAATGCCTCCGCCGATGGTTAATAGGGAGCTGAAACCAAAAAGAAAATTATCCGACTCACATTCGATTTGTTCTAATCCCGAACCACCTTCACCGAGAAGCGCACCTTCTGTCGATCGAAAATTAAAACCGCCAACACCTTTGCAGGTTAGAATACTATATTATATATTCACTTTTAGTTTGAAAATCTTTTATCCTTAACATCCTTATCACTTTACTAAAATATTTATTTTAAAATTATAATAAGATTGTAATAATACGAATGGTAAAACATGTGTGATAATTTTGAACGTAATTTGAAATAATTTTCAAATGAAAACGTCTGCGTATTAGGTTTTTGAAGTAAACATACCGGAAAATTTAAAAGAATAGTGTTAAATTTTATTAAACGAATTGTATACCTTCTTACACGCGAAGGAATAAGGGTTAATGTGTAAAGTGTTATACTTCCCTTAATCATGTTTGTGATGTTCTGTAGCTAAGGAACAAAGAATCAGAGAGTGTTAATCTAGAATCCGACATGTTTTGGTCCCAGAAAACTCTATAGAAATAAAATATATGGCAAGTACAGTAAAGAATACATTTAATGAACTTTTGAATGGGGCCAATTAATTTACACTTTGAGTTATTTTCTTTTATTTATTAGTCAGATATGTAGAATATTTTTATTTTTGACGAATGATTTTTCTGAACTTTCCAAGGTTTTTGCTTTGAAACTTCGTGTTCCTTAATTTTTTTATCGTATCCGGACATGTCATTCATGAAATTTCGGCCCAGTATCGGGCTACGTCGGCTCCACTTTTGTGGGCGAGCCCCAAATCTTCGAGGGTACATCGATGAGGACAGTTTCTGCATGTAAGAAGATGTTCCATATTCTGTGTTTCTCCGCAGTCACAGTTCACATCATCTTGGTCGATTTTTTCCCCATTTTGTCATGTTTGATTTTACTGGAGCGACCCCCGTTCTTATCCTATTCATAGTTTGTCACGTTTTAAAGTCTAGGGACTGGCCGGTCCATTGAACCTGGGGAAGAGAAAAATACGCACGCGGTTCATCCTGCACTGTTCCAAGAAAGCTTTTCCTAGCTTTTAGTCGTTTTCGTGGTGTTCGAGCTATATATAGGGCATGCCGCTTGTTCTCGATCTGTTTAATTTTTTCTTTATGATCTGCAACGCCTCTGCGTATTGAGGATTCTGCCAAACCTGCTGTTTTATATGGTTGGTTGGTTTCATGCACCCCGTTACTATCCTACATCTCTCATTTAGCGCGATATAAACTTGTTTGGCGTGGGCAGATCTGCCCCAAACGGGGCACGCATATTGAGCAGTTGAGAAACACATTGCCTGTGCCGTTGTTCTTAAAACGCCAGGACGTGCGCCCCATTTACTTCCCGTTAGCTTTCTGAGTATGCTGTTCCTAATTGTTACTTTCCCTCTCGTTTTTATGCAATGTTGTCTGTAGGTGAGGGACCGGCCCCGAGTTACTCCAAGATATATAGGTTGGTTTGTTCTATTGTATTACCATTCCACGCAATTTGGAGTTTACGCTTGGCTTCCTTTGCGCGAAGGTGGAAAGCGCAGACTTGGGTTTTAGAGGGATTGGGTCTCAGGGAATTCTGCAGGTAGTATGCTATCATTGTTTTAAGACAGTTTCTGTTCCACTTCTTCAAAACTATTTCCTTGTTGAGCACATATTGCAAGATCGTCAGCATAGAGGAAGTGCTTGGTTTCGGTCGGCGTAGGTTGGTCGTTATATATATATATATATATATAATATATATATATATATATAATATATATATATATATATATATATATATATATATATATATATATATAATATATATATATATATATATATATATATATATATATATATATATATATCCTGCTAACATTGCAGACTCTGCATTAAGGTTTTGACCATACACAACGGACTCGAGCGATTTATGGACTCATTATACGGAGTCCGTAATGTTTTTCACGTATTTCTGTTAACTGATTGTTATTTTCTACCAAAATTTTGCTGAATGAGAAACTAGAGACCTCTACCTACGGCACAAATCTATTACAAAAATTGTGGGTATTATAGAATAGCTGCAAATCTTAAAACAAAATGAGTCCGTAAAGTCGCTTTTAATTCAGCCGTTTGCCGTGGAGGGCGCTTTTATGAGTATACTGAATGTGTATATCACTTATGTGTTAAACCATAATATCATATTATAGACTCAACTCCGCTGGCAACACTGTTGCTCGAATATTCTAACAAATTATATTATCTCCCATCTGGCACAAATTGCGGACTAAGGTTTTTTACGATCATTTGGTAATGTTATTGTTAATTTTTATGTGTTGAAAAATGTATTGATATACATTGGGTATATTTATTTAATAGTAATAAACGAAGATATTCTTTCAGGTATTTCGTTTCATGTGAAAACACATTATTTCTATTTATACACAGAATAAGTCATATATTTTTGTAATTCAGAATATAATTAATTTTTATATAAATAAAAATTAATATTAATGTCTTTTTCTTCTTTTTTGATATAGACAAAGTGCCCGTTTTTCTTCGACGGTGCATCCCATTCAGGTGGAATATTATCATTCCATCTTTTTCTTGGAGGACCTGTCATCATCATCACTGGCTCGACAACCCTTTTTGGGTCTTGGCCTGTTCAAGGATTCTTCTCCATTCTGACCTGTTTCGTGCTTTTTTTTTTCCAGTTTTTAATTTTTAATGTTGTTATATCATTTTCTATTTGTTCTACGTATCTCAGCTTCGGTCTTCCTCTTGTTCTTTTTCCTACTGGCACTTGTTTGAATATTTTGTTTGGTATTTCGCCTTCTTCCATTCTTTCCACATGTCCAATCCAACGTAGCCTTCCTATTTTAATGAATGTTATGATATCCGGATCCTGGTATATGTTGTATAGTTCAAAGTTATAGACACTTGTTTATAGTTATACTTGGAGGACCTGTGCTTCTTTCAGTTCTTCTGTGTCTTCTTCTTCTTTTTTGATATAGGCAAATTACCCGTTTTTCTTCGACGGTGCATCCTATTCAGGTAGAATATTACCATTCCATATTTTTCTTGGAGGACCTGTGCTTCTTTCAATTCTTCTGTGTCTTCTTCTTCTTTTTTGATATAGGCAAATTACCCGTTTTTCTTCGACGGTGCATCCTATTCAGGTGGAATATTACCATTCCATATTTTTCTTGGAGGACCTGTGCTTCTTTCAGTTCTTCTGTGTCTTCTTCTTCTTTTTTGATATAGGCAAATTACCCGTTTTTCTTCGACGGTGCATCCTATTCAGGTGGAATATTATCATTCCATATTTTTCTTAGAAGACCTGTGCTTCTTTCAATTCTTCTGTGTCTTCTTCTTCTTTTTTGATATAGGCAAATTACCCGTTTTTCTTCGACGGTGCATCCTATTCAGGTGGGATATTATCATTTCATCTTTTCTTGGAGGACCTGTGCTTCTTTCAATTGTAGACTTATCCAAGGCTATTCTAACTTATATGTTCTTTAGCATTCTGCTAATTTACCAATACATTTATATTATTTAGTCTGCATAGGTTTCTTTTTTGAACAGTATTTTTCCAGTTATTCAAGTGGGATTACAGATATGTTTATTCACGTTTTTGTATCTAGTTTTACTGTTTGTTTCGCCATATTGTGTCATTAAAGTCGCCGTGCTGTTTCGCTTGCCTGTGTCACGTATCCAATTACTTTCACCTTAATATTATTGTTGCTCGTCAATACGTTTATTTCCAGATATTTAAATTTTAATACTTGTTTAATCAGTTGGTTTTTAATCTTAAGTTTAGACCTTTTTGGTTTCTTTGAAAATACTAAACTTTTCGTAATATGTGATACAATTTTCGTATTAAATAGTTTGACTCTGTTATCAAAAACGTTTCATCAACATCGCGTATTATTTTTATTACTTTGTGTTTCTCGTTTGGTATCTTTTTTTTTTAAATTTTTTACTTCCTTAAAAACTCGTCTAATATTATATTAAATATAAGACATTAAATATTACTGTCTGTCTCCTGTTTGATTTCAGTTGGAGGTATTGTTTATAGATTCTGTTGTTTTTATTTGAACTTTTACTTTGATTCTGTTTTTTACATATATATGTTCTCTATTATTTTTGTGAAGTATTAGGTATTGTAGGTGTATCGCATCCGATAGTCTCACTCTGTCAAGGTACTTTCCCAAATCGACAAAACATAGGTATATTGTATTCTATACTCTGATATTTGCCTAACTTCAAAGACAGCAACGTTACATAATGTTCTTCTACAGAAAACTTGTTCGTCTGATATGCTAATCATGTAGCTCCGTTTTGAGGTATCCATTACTTCATCGAAATGCTAAACTATCCAATATTTTAAAAATATTCTTACACAACAATTTGTTGCCTTAACGAACTTTAAATTTAAATAAAATGAAGGGAAAATTGTGGCTGGCACTATTTATAGACCCAGAGCATGTAATATTTTCGGGGCTTCCTCTATCTTGTGAAAAGCAATTTTTTAAAATTACAGAATTACGAATCTTCGGGGATTTTACTGTCTTTACAAAATCAATTTTTTAAAAAGTGCAAAATTGCCAATCTCCGGGAATTTCCCTTTCTTTTAAAACTAATTTTTAAAAAGTACAAAATTACGAATCTCCAGGGATTTCCCTATCAGTTGATTTGTATGAAATGTATTAAAATGTATTATACAAACGTATTGAAAAACTAATGAAAATGTTTTTGATGGTAACGGAAATTAAAGATAAATTGTGTTATTAGTTCATTCTTTCGGGAGAAAATATAAAATCTCAGAATTAAAAAAGGCTGTCAAACATAAAAAGGGAAAATGTCAAATTTATCTATCACCGGATCTTTTTCCAAAATTGCCAGTTTTTTAATGAATTCCACTAAATAATGTTATGTAGTTATAATAATTTAATTCCATATTTTGTAACTTTAATATTAAATGTTATTCTATCTATCTATAGCCCAAAATCTATTCATGTGTTGAATATAGGCCTCTCCCAATTGTCTCCATTTGTCTCTGTCTTCTGTTTGTCTTTTCCACATTGGACCTGCGCTTTGCTCAATGTCATCTTTCCATCTCATTTGCGGTC